ACCAGCCATAACATGGGTGACATCAAATCGATCTTTAAATGGCTCGGTCTTCGTACTAAAGTCTTCCCGTAATTATTTGCTCAGCAGTTCCTATTTCCATATTTTCCCTATATTCTGATTGTTTAGAAGTAGATGCACCTATTTTTTTTCTCTCGCATCAATCCTGGCCTCCTCAAGCTGTGGGGGTACGTATCTGGTCCACTCTGATATACTAAATCTTCTAAAGTATTTCTAAAATTTTCGTCCTTATGTTCTCATTTTTGTACTCCAAATCTACGACATGCTCTTTCATTTTTGGCCGTTCTCATCCTCATATTGGGTGTACAAGCAAACTCTCCAGTAACAACAGTATCTCCAAACATGATATCTAGTTTATCTTCAAGTTCATGTTCAATACCTTCCTTCCGAAATCATGCAGCTTTTGACAATTCCTATGTTTAAGGAAAAAACTCATAAATTGATATGGTTTCTAATAAAAATAAGCTATGTATATATGCATCGTTTATTAGGGAGATTGAATAACTATATCCGTAGCTACATATAAAAACGTGAACTCTTTAAAAACTTTTTATTAACTATTATACTTTTATTACGACACTAATAATGTAACATATCTTCAATATTAGCATGTAAATTCCACATCACCTTTAATCATGAAAAAAACCAATATTGAAGAAATTCCAAAAAAATTATTAAAACCTAAAAATAGGTTAATCCCATATTTTTATTATTTTTATATTTTTAATCACATAAAATCCTAAATAATACAAAATAACTTTCATAAATCACACCTAACCTGTGTAGTAGTACATTATTAGCACTTTATTTTCCTATCGAAATATAAAAAGAAACCTAAATTAATACCAATAATATTACATTTTAAAAATGATAAACTACATCAAAATTCATCAAATTATTAAATTCAAATTTTATTTTTTAGGAGATTTTTGGTTATTGTCTTAGATTGCTTTTTAATTTTTTGGAAAAAATATCCACAAAATGTATTATTCCTTTTGACAAAATTTTCTAAATAAGAAAAAATTTATTAAAAAAGAGTTCATAAAGTTTTTATTCATACCTATACTATAATTCTATTCACATCATACATAATTAAATATAACTCTTTGGAATAAAAGGATTCATATTAACGCCATATTATTGTACTAAAAGTTAGTATAGGATCTAGATAAAACTTTTATTCACATAATGCACTTTATATTTTCAAAAAAATATAAATAAATGATTTTTTTAAAAATAGTTTAGAAAGATTATAGTAATAATAGTAGCCAACTAGATATTTACTAAATATATTTGATCAAAATCAAACTTTAAAACAATATTAGATTATGTATTATCATATTTGTATTTTAACTTGTAATTATATTTATTACGTGTAAGAGATCCTAACATATCATATTTATATTTTGATAATTTGATCAATTTTATTTTCTTCATGTAACTTAAACTAGTTTAGATTCAAAATGGAATGAAAAACTAATATTTAAAATAATTATACGGTGTATATTATAATAAACAACAAAACTCTTTATTTCTTTTTTATTTCTTTTATTTTTGCAAGAAATATGTGGAACTTCCTTATAACAATACACGATACGAAAAATATATTTTCAATTTCTAACTATAGAGGTAAGTAAATTTTTATAATCAGTTATTATTTTTAAAAGATCTGATTTTAATCAGTTACATACATGCGTGCACTATACGCATATATTTACGACTACTAACTGTTTTATGTGTATATTTATTATTTCAAGACAATTAAAATCTATTTATATGTTTTAAAAATCAAACAAACTAAATTAATTACAATTATCATATGCTTTATATATTCAAATTTTAAAACCAAACAAATTAATTTAATAAATACTAAAAATATTTACAAATTAGTTAAAAATTATCATGGTGTATATATTCAAATCTTAAAACCAACCAAATTAATTTAATAAATACTAAAAATATTTACAAATTAGTTAAAAATTCTCATGGTGTATATATTCAAATCTTAAAACCAACCAAATTAATTTAATAAATACTAAAAATATTTACTTATAAATAATTTAAAATAATCTAATAAGAATTATAAAAAAATATTATAAAATTATTGAATAATATACATATCAAGTACGTAACAACAACCGAATCATTTTTAAATAATTTGAAACCCGGCCCACCTTGATTTTATATTTCCACCATTCCCATTAGTTGCATTAATCAATTGTCTTTAATCTGTGACTCCATCCAACCCCGCTGTCTTTTGCTTTCAAGTCTTTCCATATCTTCCAAAGTTATTGCAATTGATCTAACTTATTCTTAAATTGCATGGCTGTTCTCGTAGCCAGATTCACTTTTCTTTTTTAAATTCATCTACAACCAGCTTCCATACTTCCAAAGAGAAACGAGTGCAGAACAGCTGTAATGCATCCTTCACAGAAAATTAATGTTGGTGTTCTTGGCACTTTAATCTGCCTTTGCTCTTTTTGAAGAATCTTGGGTTCTTTTAGCATCCTTATATGAGCCAGCTAAAGTACGCAGATTATTATATATATCGACTTGCAACTCATGTAATTTCAGTAGATTCAAAATGCTTAATCACCATTCATTAAATCCGAGATAAACTTATTCCGTTTTTTAGCAAGCTTAAGAAGGAAAATGGTAATTAACAATTAATATAAATACATGAACTTATATTATATTACTAATATTTATCAACACCGAAGTTCTTCATAAGCCATCCGTCTGGACTAACACTATTGAATGCTTACTTTGAGAAATTGAAAAAATAACAGGCATGCTTGAAGGAGATTAAAAAAAAAAAACATGGCGAGCACATGTAGCCTCAAATAAAATATTAAAAGCCAAGACAAGATGTTATATGTACCACTCCCAAGATAGTGGGCGCATGGATGAGAATCATAAAAAGATACAAAATCAAGAGGAATTTTAGTTGATGGCAAACAAGAAATATTATACTAGTAAGAAAGAATTATTTTTTTTGCAAGAAGGGATCATAAAAATTTCTTGTGCGATAATTACTTTATAAATATACTCATTTTTATTTTTTTTCAATTGAATACATAAATTTTATCTTTTTTGTTTGAGTATACTATTTTTTTCAAAAAATTATCAATCAAGTACTTTTGTCAATTTTTCTATTACTCGGATGATGTATATGTTACTATCAAAATTCCAAATTACAATTGTATTTTTTTCCAAACAAGTACATGAGCTTTAATTTTTTTTTTTTTAGTTTGAATACAATACTTTTTTTTTAAACTACCAATCAAATATTTTCGTTATTTTTTTATTAATTGATGATGTGTCCGTATATCAAATTATATTTTTCTCTTTTTTGTTGTAAGGAACTGTTTTTTCACATTATTTTATCATTTTAAAATCCGACAAAGAATAAAAAAATATTTTTTTAGCTATAAAATTATGAACTAAACTCGGTTAAACTTGTCGTTAAAAAAAAAAAAACTCTATTAGATTTTGGGTTTGAAAGTTGAAAAAAAAAACACAAAGCGAGATTTTTTATCAAGAAGATTCATATGTGTTTTTCTTCAATTTTACTCCCAAAACCTAACTAGGATTTTTTTTTTTTTTTACAACAAGTCTAATTGAGTTTAATTTACGATTTTATAACTAAAAAGCAATTTAAATTTTTTTTTCAAACTTTAAAATAGTAGAATAATTTGGAGAATTTTTTTTACAATAAAAAGAGAGAAAAAATATAATTTAATTTTTGAACACATCATTAGTTAATGAAGAAATTAACGAAAATAATTGATTGACGGTTCTAGAAAAATTGATATACTCAAACAAAAAAAATTAAAACTCATATACTTAATTAATAAAAAATTAAAAATTGATGTACTTATACTTTTATTATTCGGATAAAAAATAATAAACATTTGGAATGAGAAAATAAAAAAAGGACAAGATAATCATTTACTCTTTTGTGTTAACTATCACTTTATTACTTGAAGGAAAAATTGATGAAAAAAAACTCGATTGAAATTTTTTTTTAAAAAAAAGAAACTCAAATAAAAAAAAATTGAAGTAGTTCATCCAGAAAAATATTCAAAATTGATGTAATTATAATGAAATAATCCCAAATCAAATATCCGAGTATCTCTAACTTGCAAACCCTAGAAAATAAAAAGACAGTACGCTCATGTATGTTTATGTATTTACAGGGCTAGCTAAGAAAAATAAGGGTTTTGAAATTGATTCACGTGCATCATTAACATCCTTGGTATGCATGTAATTTTTCAAAAAAATTAAAGGATAAAGGTGTTCCTTTAACTAGAAAATAAAAATTAGCCCGGACCAGAAAGCATGAAGTAAAAAGAGAGCGACCTCGAGAAAAGAAATAAAGGGGTTATTTTCGGTAGTAGCCTCGACGTATGAATTAAAAAAAAAAAAAAAAAGAAAGAAAGAAACAAACAAAGGGTGAAAAGAAGGCAGAAGCATAATGTCTTCGGCTTTAAGCATGCCGAATTACCGGGGAGAGGAGGCCGAGAGCTTTCAACCCCGGTGGTTTTACGTCATTCCAACATCAGAAGAAGTTACAACTGCCGCGAGTGTTTAGCGGAGATTCCTCCACAAGCGCAACACGCGCCCCAGCTGATTAATTTTCTGATTTTTCATTTCAGTCCCTGATTGTTCTAGTATGCTGTGTTTTTATTCCTGAGTTTGAAACAAATATCCAATTCAGTTCTGATTTCTGTCAACTGTTAAAATCAGCTCCTCAATTTTAAAGACAAAACTGGATGGTCAGATGGATGCTAAAGGAGGTCCATAAACGCAATCTGTTAAATTTCTAATCAATATTTTTTCACAAGATTTTTATATTAAATTATTATAATTACTTATGTAATTTGATAGTGGTTAATTTTTATCCTTGAAACGCCATTATAAATAAGGACTTGGAGCTAGCTCTACCGTTGTAAAATATCCAAGTCAGAACAAATACACCAATGGGGAGGCTAGTTTTTTTCTCATTTCTTTCCATCTTCTCCTTCCTCATAACGTTCTCTGATGTGATGATACCACAAAAGCATGTCATGGCACTCCCTCTGTCTACCAACTCACGGTGGATCGTGGACGAGAACGGGCGGAGAGTGAAGCTGGCATGCGTGAATTGGGTATCGCATCTTGAGGTCATGGTAGCCGAGGGGCTTAGCAAGCAGCCCATGGATGCTATTGCCAAGCGGATTGTGTCCACGGGGTTCAACTGTGTTAGACTCACTTGGCCAGTTTTCTTGGTAACCAATGGCACTTTGGGGTCTCTCACTGTTAGACAATCCTTTCGAAGCCTTGGTCTACTCGAATCAATCTCTGGTATCCAGGCCAACAACCCCTCCATCATTGATCTTTCCCTCCTTGACGCTTACCAGGTAATTACAGCTCTGATATGCTAGTTATAACACTGCTTAAACATTTGATTAACATTAAACAAAATCATGAAAAATTAGCAAGTTACGGTATCTACAAGATGTTTGATTGCCATTTTTTTTTTTAAATATCATGTTGGGTGCTATTGGATATTCTCAGAGCTAAAAGCTAGTTCAGGGAGTAAGGCTTTTTTTTTTTTTTCATATTTATAATCAAACATTCAGTTACTATGTGGGATAATCCAAGAATCCTTCCCTCCATAGAGCCTTAAGTCTTATAACCAAGCAGCCAATCCCAAAAGTTAATTTAAATAGTGAATTTTTTCCACGCACTTATAACCAAGTATCCAAATTCCAAACCCATAACCGATGTGGAATAATTTATTCCTTCCACGATCGATATGAGATAATTCACCCCTTCCACAACCGCTATCACAGTGCTAAGATATCCTAAAAAAGAAGAAGCTTATTGTGCTTTTAGTTTTCTTAATTGAAGTATGAGAGGTGGAGATAAGAACAAGGTTGTTAAGATAAGAACAAGGTTTTTAAGATAAGAAATTGGAATGATGATAGATGGATGGTGACTGTCTGACTGACGACAACAATGATATTTTTATAGTCCTTGTTGTATCCCATACTTTACATCATTAATGTCGTTGATTTAGTAAGGCTTTAACATTACTACATTGGTTAAAAAAAGAAAAAAGCAACATTATTACACGGTAAATTTAGTTCACTTCGGTTCAGTTTCCTTTGAAAATAGAGAGAAATGAAAATCTGAGTTCAATTGTGTTTCAGGCAGTGGTGTCTAGCCTTGGGAATAATAATGTGATGGTGATATTGGACAATCACGTAAGCAAGCCTGGTTGGTGTTGCAGTAATTTTGATGGCAATGGCTTCTTCGGTGACCAATATTTCGATCCAGATCAATGGATCACAGGCCTTACTAGAATGGCGAGCATGTTTAAAGGTGTGCCTAATGTGGTTGGCATGAGCTTGAGGAATGAGCTTCGAGGCCCCAAACAGAATGTCAATGATTGGTACAGGTAATTTGCCCTCTCTCTTTTTTGTTTTTGGAAAAAAATATTAGTCTTGAACCAATTGTTGTCTTCGTAAGTTAGATGATTCATTAACATGCTAATGACATGAGTCAGGTACATGCAGAAAGGAGCTGAAGCAGTGCACTCAGCAAACCCTAATGTTATTGTCATTCTATCTGGCCTGGATTATGACAAAGACTTGTCTTTCCTGCACAATCGACAGGTGAATCTAACATTTAGTGGTAAAATAGTGTTCGAAGCACACTGGTATGGCTTCTCAGATGGGGAGGCATGGAAAAACGGCAACTCGAACCAAGTATGTGGAACGGTGGTGGATAATATGATGAGGAAATCTGGATTTTTGTTGGACCAAGGTTGGCCATTGTTTGTGAGTGAGTTTGGGGTGGATCAAAGAGGGACAAATGTGAATGATAATAGGTACTTGGGATGCTTCCTTAGTGTTGCAGCTGAACTTGACTTGGATTGGGCTTTGTGGACACTAGTTGGAAGTTATTATTTCAGGCAAGGTGTTGTAGGGATGAATGAGTACTACGGGGTGTTGAATTCGAATTGGTGTGAGACCAGGAATTCAACCTTCTTGCAGCAAATATCTGTCCTCCAATCTCCATTTCGAGGTATGTATAGCATTTATGACTTCTTTGCTTGTGATAAATTCCTTAGATCTGAATCTTTTGCTCTCGATCTAGTCACTTGTTTTTTATAGCTAATCTTTAAGGTTGTGTTTGGGTAAAATTCAGGGCCAGGTCTTTCAGAAGCTCGTCCACATAAAGTGATTTTCCACCCATCAACGGGTCTTTGTGTGTTGAGGAAATCAATGCTTGAGCCACTAAGGTTAGGCCCTTGCGCTGAATCTGACGCCTGGGACTATACACCCCAGAATATGCTCAGAGTGAGAGGGACATATTTCTGCTTACAAACAGATAATTTGGCCAAACCAGCAAAACTTGGCATAATATGCCCAGATTCTAATTCAAAATGGGAAACTATATCAGATTCCAAAATGCACCTTTCATCCAAGGCCCCCAATGGCACAGACGTTTGCCTAGATGTAGGCTCCAACAACATCATTGTTACCAATACTTGCAAATGTTTGAGTAAAGATAAAACATGCGACCCAGAAAGCCAATGGTTTAAACTAGTTAATAGCACAAGAAGGCCAACCTGGACGAAACCCTCGTCTCGGATGAGCTCAATCCTCAATTTCCCACCAAAGGATTTTCTATGGAGGTTAGAAGGCTCGTTCTAACTTATATTGCAGAAGCTGCCTATGGAGCAACTTGACAAGTTGTTGGTTTGGACAATCTAAAAATCCAATGTCAGGCATCTAAAGCAACATAACAATTGTCGGGTTGGATATGTGTCTGACGCATTAATTATTTCTAAACAGGCTGTCTTCCATCATACAAGCCCAATCAAAATATTCTGTCTCTTGTCCATTATTTAATCAAATATGGCTGCAATTTAGCGCAGGTTTGCTTATTGCAGAAACTAGTAGATGGATCCAGGCACCAGAATGTCTACTATCTAGTAATATTGCAACCGACGGATTGTAGGCTCAAGATTTGAGCACAACCACTATGAAAATATATGAAAAGGATACGGCAGTTTCTATAGTTTCCAAAACTATACTTTTCTTTTTCCATTTCTTTTTTAATTTTTGTAAGAATTTCAGAAAACGAAATACAAGAACCAGCAGATTACTTATCCTGTTCTGAAAGGCAAATTCTAATTAATACAACTAAAAAAATCTCTTAAAAATACTATAACAAAATGTGTTTTTACTGTCCTTAAACTATTCATTGTGTGAGTTTTCACTGTTTGGTCACTTTGCAATGTGTGTAAAATTACTGTTCATAAATTATTATTCGTATTTTTCGCATAGTGTGGCAATGATGAAATATACATATATTATTTTTTTATATTTTAAAATTAATATATATTTCAGATTTTATTACTCTTATTATTTAAAATTTATTTTAAAATTTGTTATTTCTTATGAAAATTTCCATCCAATGAATATTTTCTTATAAAATTTTATTTATTTATAAATAGAATTTATTTTTCTCTATATCTAAATTTTAGATTTTTTAAAACATGATTTTTTTAAAAAATAAATTGATATAATATCTATCATGAATTCCAAGAATTTTTAAATGATAGTTGCATGTATATGTATAAAATTTAAAAAGTTAAAAAGTTTATTTCGGATAATTTGTTTGAGTCTACTAAGTATGGTAAAAAAGTATAAAAAATTATTATGTCATCGATTTTATTAAAAATTAACTATACATCTTCACATATAATACTAACTATTTGCTATGAATGATTTTTTTTTTTTGACATTATAAAACCATTTTTTTGAAATAAAATAATTTTTAAAAGAACCACCTAATTATTCAATACAAATTTTTATATTAACATTATTGACTATTTTGTAAATAAATATATATAGATCAAATGCATATACTTTCAAAAAATAACCATTTTATTAGTATTAAATAAGAATAATTTTTTTATTAGCGAATTGTTATATATGTCTATATGTTAATTGTAATTTTATTTTTTTGGTACATTCTTATGAAAAATATTATTTTAAAAGTATTTTTTACTTAAAAATATTATAATTTTTATTTAAGAATCAATACACAAAGAAGAATAAATCATCTTTTTTTTTAAAAAAAAATTTATGAAAAACATAAAAATAATTAATTAAATAAAACATTATAAAATTTTGAAATGCTTTTGCTTTACAAACTACGGGCAACCGGTAATGGATAGACTAAACCTTGTAGTTTTGACGCAGAATATATGATCAATTTGAGAGATGATGGGAGTTTATTCAAGTAGTCGAATGCTGGTTCCACCACAGAATTCATTCTTCTATTTACATCTCCATCTCTACTTTTTTGCACCTTTTCTCTCAAAGGATCATTTTTTGTGGATATACCCCCCGCAATCATGACAAAATCACCGTGTGAAACCAACCAACAAGATACAACCTTCCAAAAAAAAAAAAAAAAAAAAAAGGGCCAGCAGGTAGGTTAAAATCTAGCCAAATACATACAACTTCAACTTAATTACACAATCAATCCTATATGATATTTAGAATCCCAAAAAGCCTTTGCAGGAAGCAAACCAGAGGCCATGGCAGCAAAGGGCGGAGTTTCTGTACCCCTCAGTAGTGATTTGTGCAATACAATAAAACATTAAGAAAAATTAAGCTCCATATGCAAAACAGGTATAAGATTATAGAGCTGACATAAGCAAACTTAACTCATCAAGTGCAATGTGGTCCAGCGATGGCTGCTCCTAGCACCAAATCAGCTTAAACATGACCATGGCACCTGGAAAGCAGGACAGGGAAGAACCAGTTAGGCTTTGCGCTTTCTCGAATTGACATTTTCTTATCTAGGAGAAAATATCTTATCTTTCTATGGAAGAAGTATTATCTCAATAACAACCCTTGATTCTCGAACAGTATTGTCCCGACGTTGATTCAGCTAGGAAATGGCCATATCTGAAGACAAGCGTCGTGAAAACAAAGATGTAGTACGTACAGACTATTAATTGGACATTCAGAGATGAATAAATATTTAATTAATGCGAACATGGACCACGATCCACATGCATGGTTGGAAAATACCTGTACTGCGTCTGTGTCAGCAGCAGTAAAATATTAGGAGCCAAATAATCTATTTTCTAACAATTTTTGCCAATTGCATTGTTTTTGGGCATGGCTCTTGTATCTGCTCCAAGAATGAGTCCATTTTAAGTGAACAAAGAAGATCCATGCTATTAGAAACGCACCGAAAATATTGAGAACTCCATACCAGCAGGTATAAATAAGCATTTAGAACCCGAAAAAAACTTTTCAACCAGCAAGTTCGCTGGTGGTATGCTAGCTGTTCTGAAGTGAATTTTGTCTCGATGTACAAGATTTGAATTTTGAAGTCACACTTATTAAAAGAAATTAAACTTTATTACTTTCGTTTCGAATAAGATTAACCTTATTTCTAAAATAAAATTAGGATACTTGGGTAAAGCCAAAAAAAAATAAAAAAGAGAGTCAAAAATCTCAAAAGAACGTTGGCCACGCAGAGCTACAAAGGGGTTTGAAACAGAAAAAAGGACCAATCTGACTTCTAGCATAACCATATTTAGACAGAAGCAAGTTAAACAGACAATAAAAGCACTAACTAATTGGGCAATAATGTATCTGAAAAATTAGGCCAACGATTCTCTTTCCAGTCCTTCTGTAAGATTGGAGGCTGTTCACCTTTCTTAAACAGCGTATTATAAATCGAAGCTGTCCTCCCTTTGGAGGATGTTCCACAACTCTCTGTACTCAGAGACATCATGATAGTTCTTCCACCAGAAAACCTAAGCAAGCAAATAGCCAGTTTCTATATTTTTCTTTTAATTTCATAATTAAGTCCCACATAACATTACAAGTAACTCCTGTCAGAATTTCGGGTTTGATAAAGCACGGAGTAAGACTTATGTTCTTAAACCAGAAATTGTACTTATTTCTTTCTTATTTCAATGTAAAAATGAAACTTGCATGATTATATTCAATATATATACTGCAGTAACTCAAACCTGCTGCTTATTTTAAATCTCCAGCTATTTGTATTTTTCCTCGGCCTTGTATATATAAAATGATAGAACAAAATATAGAGTCAGAGATTATGATAAGGGTAGATGTAATGCAACTTACAGGAACCGAAAATGCTTGCAGGCCTCCTTAGGAACTGTAACAAATTTCCCTAGTATTCTTCGAATAAAACATTCTAGGATGAATTTAGTAAATTTCCTAGTTAATATGTTTCTGTTAAAAGTGTTACTGCGAGTCCACTGATAAAAATCTGTTTTAATTTAGTAAATCATAAAAAACAATCTTATTAGAAAAACTCATAATTCGCTGTTAAGTACTCTAGAAGAAGTACATCAAAGAATGTGGTTTAGTGATAAAAAACAGTACCAGAATTAAGGTATTTATAGATGGATTCTTCCATTGCTATATGATATTAGAGACGGATTAACGACAATATGGATTATGTCTCTAAAACGGTGGTCGCTATTTCCTCAACGATTGAAATTTTTTTCCATTGCTAAATCGATCTAAAACAATCGTCCGAAAGGTCTCATTTTCATCTTCATACCATCATTATTTCCACTTACATCCGTCGCTGAATAGTGACAGAATGTGTGTTGCTAAATTTTAGTTGCCAAGATCCTCGCAATTCCATCGTTAAATCCGTTGCTATTTAGCGATCATATATGTCTTTGTCATTAAGTATCCTCGTAATTTCGTCGCTAAATGAAGAAAGTTTTTTTAAATAAATAGCCGTATATTGTTAATTATAATAACAAACAACTATAAATAACACGTTATTAAAACACAATATATTATTTATTAAAATTAAAATTTTATAAATTGAAATAAAATAAATAAATAAATATGTTAAGAGGTATAAAAACATAAATTTTTTTTTAAAAAAGCAAGAAATTTAGTACTCATTATCACGATCTCTTGCATCATCTTACATTTGTTAAGTGTTGAGAGGATTGACTTACTCCTAGGTTACGAAAGAGTCGGCAAGAGAGACGTAAAGTCGTTGCAGGTTTTGTAACAACCTTATCATTGCTCGCAACCGACTTTGTATGGAGTTAACTTAACCGACTTGTTGCTATATGGTAATCTCCATCTCATTAATCTTATCTTTGTACTCGGGCATGCAAAAACCTCTTAGATATTACCACTAGAATACCGTGAATGGACGAGATGAGGAGCCGGCGTCGAATGTGAGTAACACCGGGATGCATAAGTTCCGATGTCGTAAACTCTCTCGCTTCTTCTCTCCTTCGATAGCATTTAAATATATCTTAGGCATGCCGGTATCTAGAAACGATGAATCACCCTCCTCGCTACTCCTTAGCAATTACTTTTTGCATTGATCGCACGTGCTCCTTTATCATTAAAATAATTACAATATTAAATCTTAAATATATATATTTTTAGATTATATTGGTAGATGTATATATATTTTAAAAAATATAAAACCTTACCATTACCGTTTGCGATCGCCTATAAAAAAATGTCTTATCTTTTTGCTTGTGAGTGGTCATGAACAACTCGTAAGGATTTGAGTTATGACCCAATTTATTATACTTAAAAAAATAAATAAAATAATATGAGATGTAATAAATGCAATAAATAATTTCTAACACAATAGATAATATAGGATTTACCAAAAGTTTAGTGTGCTCGATCAAAGAAATGGACCTTCTAGTATGCTTAGATGGATCGAGTACCGACACCACCTATCTCCGACATATGATTTCGATACGTTTACGAAGATTGAGTTTGATACTCCGGAGTGGCCCAATTCCGGTGCCATGCTTCCCACATCTCTAGTTTAACAAACGCAAGTTTGTTACTCTTATGCTTCGGTTTGTTAAGCATGTCGTCGTATCACATTTGTACCGGACTCTCCACGCATCCTTAATCGGCGTGTCGATGTTGCATCTCATAAAAAATACTTATACATGAAGCAAAAAAGTAATATTAGTACTTTTTTATGTTAAATTAACACTTTAAATGAAATATAAGCAAATAACTAATATGTTACCTTAAATTCATTAAAGTAGAAGTCTTTCAACTTCATGGAGACAAACTTCTATATGGAGCTAGCGACGTCCAATCGACCTTTGAAAATCACCGTGATTTTTGTAGAGCATTTGTTTGATAGGACCAAACTGTTGAACAAAATAAATAAATTATAAATAAGAAAATTAATGATTCTAATATAATATATGAAAATATAAAATTGATTATCGCTAGTAAAACATATTACTTACCAGTTATTCATGATCCAAATTGTCCGTCCATCATCGATTCGGTAGAGCTTTTTGGAGATGAGGAAACCATTGTGGGGACATCCACAACTAGGAGCACAATCGACGAGGGATAACCGACAAGGCCGCTATTGAAGGAGATGCAAACATGTTGGCACCAATATCAAGTCCGTAGCTCCGGACACTTGCACGAATAGTGTCACATCCACGTAAACCGCCACTATCAATCGTATGGTCAACATCAAAGCCACGACTAGTGACACCGCAACCGGATCTCCCAAATCCACAAGACATGACTCAAGAATAACAACTAAAACGAGCTTTAATAAATTAATAACAATTCGACTAAAAATATATTATAAGTTTCTTAAACATCTAACAAAATTTCAACGAGTCTCCCTCATAAATCATACTTTTTTTAATTAATAAATACTCCAAATAATCAAACAAATATTGAATTAAATCAACCAACAATCAATTTGTGCACATCGATATGAGCAATTATCTCGAATGCTCTATCAAAATTAAATCACAAATCGTCATGTCGGCTCTATCGTAGAGCATTGAAGCATTTTTATTTCTCCACCATTTTCGAAGTCGGATTCGATATACTGCGACGTATCTCGACGGACTTAAATAATTATAAATGAAATGATTAAACTAATTAATTCTAATTCTAACCTAATTAAGTTTAAAATAATAATAAATTAACAAGTTTTAATATAAATAAAATTATAATTCAACCAATTAAACAAAATTAACCTAATTAATTAATTAAATATAAATCAAATTAACTTAATTAATTCTGATTCTAAAAAATTAAATTTAAAATAAAAATAAATTAGCAAGTTTTAATATAAATAAAGTTATAATTCAGCCAATTAAATAAAATTAACATAATTAATTAATTAAATATAAATATAATTAACTTAATTAATTCCAATTCTAACCAAATTAAATTTAAAATAGCAATTAATTGACAATTTCTAACACAAATAAAATTATAATTAAACCAATAAAAAAATTAACCTAATTAATTAATTGAATATAAATCAAATTAACTTAATAAATTCTAATTCTAACCAAATTAAATTGAAAATAACAATTAAATTAACTTAATCATGAAAAACTAAACAATTAATTAAAAATATTATAATTAATTAATAAATTTGTTCTAATTCAACCAATTAAACAAAATTAATCTAATTAATTAAAAAACCTAAATTAAATTAACTTAATTAATTAAAAATCAATTATGGTTAAATTTAAATTATAATTAATTAACAAGTTTACCTAACGATTAATAAAATTTAACAAATTAACAAATTAATCAACAAATTAACCTAAAAATTAACAAAAAATAATAAATTAACAAAATAACATTTAGATATATACAAAATTAAAGATCAAGCTATTAAACTTAAAATTAACTTAACAATCATAACAAATCACCAACTTTAATTAAGAAAATAAAAGAAAAGAGAAAAACTTACAATTTGGATGGAGTTATACCAAGAGGAGGGAAGGAAAAACGAGAGATTTTCGAGAGAAAAGAATTTGGAGTGAGTGTAGATTGATTGAGAGAGGAGGAGGGGAGTTTGTGGTGGTTGGGAAAGGGAGAGATTGGTTGCTGCTGGCTGGAGAAGGAGAGGGGGAAGAAAATGAGGGAGGAGGAAGAAGAAAGGGGTCTAATTAGGGATTGTAAAATAGCAATAGACGCGATTTTCTCACAAATTCGTTGCTATTTAGCGACGGACACTTACGTCCGTTGCTAATTTGTTTCAAAATGAGCACCTAATTTATTACACATGGTCGATCATTTTTTTACTTATAGCGACAGAGGTAATTGTCCGTCTCTAATCCATTCCTAATTTAGCAGTTTTGACTTTCAAAAAATCCATCAAATTTTTCACTTTTAACGATCGAAGTTCTTGTCACTAATTTGTGAGAGATGTTTATTTTAGCGATGCAAATTTCATCTAAATCTAGACACCGAAAATAGTGACGGATAAGAAATTTTGTTATTATTTTTTCTAGCAAATCTGTCGCTAAACCGTCTCTAAAACTCTTGGAATATTTTATTGCCAAATTTAGCGACGGATTGGTTTCCTTCGCTAATAAACCATCATTGATTCATCCGTATTCCATTGCTGATTCCAATAGAAGCTATTCGGTTGCTATTTTTGCTATTTAGTGATGGGCGATGATCTCGTTGTTAATTTTTATTGCTATTTAACAATTTTTTTTGTAGTGAAAGTTGTTTTGATTTGACCAAAATCAAAATTCAATTCCTATTATTATAGTATTATTAGGCATAATTATCTTTTATTTGTATCATATCTATAGTGCTTTGATCTAAAAAATAGTCTAGTGATCGACCAAAAGTTAGGAGTATTCTAATATTAGTACTTTAGCCTCAAAAGTAATGAACTTACTCTTGTTTGATGCAAAATCATACCCTTTTATATATATATATATATATATTCCAGAAGAAGTTTGAAATAAAAGGAGATTGTTAAGATAATTATGTGTGAATAGAATCCTACATCGGTTTGAAATAAAAAAAAAAAAATGAAGTGTTTATACGCCAAAATGAATATTTAATCCATCCACTCAGGTTTTTGGATTGAAGAAAGTATCCATCAATATGTATAGACTCTTATCTTGTGTGTAAACTCATGCATGGACATAAGGTGACCCTTCAATGCAAATCTCCCCAACACGAATTACACTGTAATGATTTTTTCATTTAAAACAGAGGGTTTTATTTTTTATTTTTATTTTTAATGCCCTAAGGTTGTTGACTGTACCAAGCAGCCTTCGTTTATTACATTACTTCACTAAAAAAAGCCGTCGGCTCCATAAATACTAGGCAAAGTTTGTCTGTATGTGTTTTAAAGATCGGTAGCTGCTTGCGTTTAATTCTGTTGGTTGTATGAAATCCATTTCATTTTTGAAACAGAAATTCTTTCAATGGTAATGTACGGAATGCCTAATCAATACGTACGGTACTCCTCTATTCCCCTTAACAAATGTTTAGAACTACACAGGTGAATGGGGAACTCTATATTATCTTCACTGGAAAAGACTTGGTGCCACAACCTTTCAGTTTAGTATTTAATAAATTTATTTTTTTGCAAATTCAGGCCTGTAAGATTACTTTTCATATTGTATTGGTTCATTAATTACATAGATTATATATATATATATATATATATATATATATATAATGTTTGTAATGCAATAAGTCATTATAATGACGTTGATCCATCACAGTACAATTTTTAAAATTACACAATCAAACATAGAAATCTAATAAGTAATCATATTATATAATCTTTTGCATCCAATCAAACGTACCGTAAAATGTCTAGACAAAGACACTGTGCGTTTGCCAGAAACTTAGTAGAATTTCCTGAAATGCTGATCTTGATGAGACAAATGCAACATGTTTAGGAATAACTTAATTGAATACCAGACGTGACGATTAAGCTACGACTTTGGATTTTTTTCTCAAGGCATCGTAAATTTGCAGAAGCTCCCACTGTAACAAAACGAGTAAAAGCTTTAGCAGCAATAACTTTGGATTTGGTCCGTCCATCTGTATTTTGGCCGGTGACATTCATTTATGCCTAAAATGGAGTTGTTGGCTAATAAATAGAAGGAATAATTCCCAAAGTTACTGCTAAGAAATCAACGAGCCAACTAGAAAATACCACTGGCCAACTACCACTACCAGTCCAACCACCGTGCATGGTTCAACAACCATGCACTAAGCATCAATATTATTACTCAGGTTGGTTTAATTACGACATGTTCTCAGCGAATAGTGCTACAAATCACCTGATGGCTAATGCACAACACTCAAATTGCATGGATATTACAGATTATTGAGTGCCCTTGGTTCGAAAGGCGAAGCCAATAACTTCACGTTGGGATGTTGGATGTTAAATTTTTTATTCTGGTGATGGGATGCTAACAAACAGAAAAAGTTGGACGGGTTTTATATCATAAATATGGCAAACAAATACGACATAACTTTCTTCTCGTTAAATTAAAACATTCTTAAATCGTACGTACCATAGGCATAGACTGACGTTTCATAGCTTAGATATGCAACCTGAAGCAATAGATGATAATTAAGGCTCCGGATATGCATACAAATGGGCTTGATTAGCAAAACAAATTAAGCAAAGGTTTGGAACAACAGTAATGGTGTAAATTTAGCACAACTAAGCAGCAGTAGCCTTCCCCAACCTAGGCATCAGAGTCACCTGTAGTCCATTCTTCATGTAAAGTGTGGTTGTCATTTTTGGAAAAGCATCATGGCCTTCAACGACCTTAACTGAATACCTCAACAGGATTGAAGCTGCCACCATTTTCATCTGCATGTATGCAAACTTCTTTCCCAGGCACAACCTTGGACCGGCATTAAACACTGCATATTTGAACTGATTTTCACTGACAAACTTTCCATCCCTAATCCACCTCTCTGGCTTAAACTCCAAGCAATTTTCCCCCATATGGAATCCATCCTGCCCATTGAGAATATGCAGTAGAAAACTCGAGCGCCCTTCTTAACTATGGAACCATCAGGGAGAACATCATCTTCGACAACTTCTTTCACTTCATTTGGTACAGATGGATACAGCCTCAGGGATTCGGATAATGCTGCTTGGAGATACATCATCTTGTTCAATTCTTCCATTGTGAAAATGATGCCATTTTTGGTCTGTGTCTCGCGAAGGGACAGAATGTCATTGATCTCGCATAGAATTCTGTTTTCTACTTCTGGATTCCTGTGGACTAACCAGAAAAACCATGCCAATGCCACCGAAGTGGTGTCGCGCCCTGCTAGGATAAAATTTACACACAAATCTCGGAAATACTTATCTGGGAATTGCACCTTCTTGCCTTGTCCACTATATTCCATCTCAATAAGTCTGGACAAGAGATCAGATTGATCACACAACCTACCATGCTTGCTTATCTCATCCCTTCTACCGTTCACTGTCTTCTCAGCGAAGTCATGTACAATGCCAACTGCCTCCTTCAATGCCTTCTCATATCCTATTCCAAAGAACCTCATGGGCTTCCAAATGAAAGGCGGAATCAGGAACCTGAACAAAGTTAATTCTGTTGCCTTTTCAAAAGCTTTTGCGAAGGGAACGTCAGGAAAATCCAGGGCTAAGCACCCAGGATTAACGCCAAAAGCTGCAGTGCAAATGTTATCAAACGTAAACCGAAGAAGCACGTCTTGGAGATCAAAACTATCTCCTGACTCCACCAGTTTTTCTGTCAGCTTCAACAGCTTCTGGTGCACCAGATCTTGCATTGTTTGAAGCGAGTGCTCAATGAAACGGCTTGAATGCATCTCTGCTTTCACTGTTTGCCTTTGTTCTCTCCACAATTCATCGTCAGCATTGAAAATACCATCCCCTAGCAAATCCCGAAACCTCTCTCGGAAGTATTTTCCTTTTGGGAAGTTCTTGAAATTTTTTTAAGCATATACTCGATATTGGAAGGATCAGCTGTAGCGATTCCATATGCCCCTCCTAGCCACATTCCTTTGTGGTAGAAGGTTCCCCCTGCTTCACTTAAAGCTCTAGTGGCGAAATTGTACATGTCGTTGATGTGGAGGAACAAGGTGGGTAAGATCCCCAACACAGGCCATAGCATAGGGCCTTTGTTGGTAAGCCTTTCATTTATACATCGGAAAACAAAGAGTGCCAACAAAGCAAGAGATAAATCCCAAGGAGATGAGTGAATATACATCCATTGGGTTGCAGAGAACAAGAAATTTGCTGCCATTGTTGCTTCTCTTTCCATGACAGAAACAACGATATTTTTTTGAATGAGAGGAAACGTTGAACTCTCATTTAATTATTTTTTAGGTTGACGTAGCTAGGGCCAGGGCATTTATGTTATGAACAGCTTAAAGGACATAACCTGCAGCAGGAGTTAAGATATTTTTCTTTTTTTGTTCCTAAAACTTGCCCGATCAGTCCGTAAATTTTGATTAAAATGCGACTAGTCCATGGATAAAAAAAAAATTCCAAAATGGGAGTCCTTGTAATTTAATTTCTTTTCTTTTCTTTTCTTTTCTTTTTCTTTTGATAGATTACTTTTTAAGGCACCAATAGGTTTCCACGTAGCTAGGTATTAATTTTGGAAGTTAATGCTTTAAATTTTCAAGTAACATGATTTAGTTGCGTTCTTCATTAACACTCCTAATCAATTAAATTTGTTAAGTAATCAAATTTGGAGCTCGTAAGTTATTGCTTGTTCTAAGAGCTAATTAAGCTTTGAAGAGCTATGTTTAATTAATAGAATGAAAAAATTTTTTATGAAGAGTTCGAAGATGGATGATTTCTATGGTTCATTAATATCTGCAGATAAAACTCTTTTTATCTTTCTCAAACTCAAAACAAAATATCTTTGCGTATTTTCATAAATAAATAAAAATCACTAAGAACTCTCTAAAATATAAAGGACATATATGCAAATCAGATTGAATCGTGGTCTCAACTACTTTTCTTTTGAATGTTTATTGATGTAAAGACAAAACTGTACGTTGCTGGTTTTGCTACTACAAGATCTGCCTGGCTCCTATATGTTCTCGTAATGCGCTGTCTTTTGCTTTCATGCTTGCGTTTATAAATATTTGGAAGTTGGAACTTAATGCTTGTACTTCACGAACTACAACGCGGTGCTTCGGTTGACAATGCGACAATCCTTTCGGTGTTTCCTATCATCAAGAATGACTGCTGTAATTACTTTTTTCACCTTTTTTGGTGAATACTACTTGTTTCTTCTGAAAACTCCTCAAATCTTCCTCTTAGAAAAAGAAGAAGTAATAAAAATGACAATTAAATTGGGTTGAAGGGGTTCAGACCGAGTCGTTTTAGATTAGGATTGTATTCGGATTCAGGTCAAATCGTGTTTAACCAAAACTCATATAGTTTGAATGGGTTTGAGTTAGTCCATGAGTTTGAAATTTATTTTGACATTATTGTGCGAGAAGAGTGATCAAGCTCTCACGAAGGAAAAAAAAAAGAAAAAAAGAAATATCATTTAAATGGGTTTTTTTTTCAAAGGAAAAGAATGAGTAAAAGGGAAGGTATCTAGTGTTTGTTGTGATTTTTCATAAATTGCAGGTTTTAAAAGAAGGTCGATTACATACACAATCGATGAGATGCGCCCGAAGAGAAAAAAAATTTCAAAAAATACAAAAAAAAAAGAAAAGATTTTTAAGTGCATGACGTGCATCACATGCATGGATTACATTTACGGAGCACTACTCACCTTAGTTTCTTATGATATATGTGCTTAAAATGCTAAGTGATGGCCGCCGTCGAGGAGAAGGAATGACTTGCCGTAATTTGTGCCTAATAATTAAAAGTGGGTGAGATAGACTTTACTTTGTTTTTATTATGATTAAGTGCTAGGGTTAGTATTAAAGGACAATCTCACGTAAAAGCTTAAGTCGATAGGTGAGGCCTTGAATATAATTCATATTAGTCTCTAACACATCCCCTCAAATGAAAGGCCAAACATTTGGGGCATGAAACTTACACGAGTCTATATTATCTTGTGCTTAATATTTGAGAAATTGGGGATGGTGAGACTTGAACTCGGAACCTCAAGATCAACCAAGCTTTGATACCATATTAAAGGACCATCTCACCTAAAAGCTTAAGCTGATAGGTGAGACCTAGAATATAATTTATATTAGTCTCTAACAGTTAGCACACTTTGGCATGTAAATGATGGTATGATTTATCTTAAACAATGAATGGTGTGTGTATGTTTAATTCTCAACAAATGGACGATATGATATCAATTAATGACTAAGCTAGTTATAAATGGTTTAAATGAATCAATGGGCTAAGTAAGAAATTAATTTCAAGTCAATTGGAATTAATGAAATAATGATTAAATTGATATAAAGATTAGAAATTAATTGGCAACAAATAATGGAAGTTAAATAGTAAGGAATAAATGAATTGGAAGGCTAAAGGAATAAATTGAATTTAATATATAAGAATTAATCGAATTTGATTGGTTAGATTAAATTGTTATGTTTTCTATTAATTGGAACCGAGTTCCATAAACCCTAAATATTATTTTGGTAGGACATGATTTGATTTCAAAAAGACTTAAATGAAGATTAAATGAATTAATTAATTGAGTCTTCAAGCTAAATTATTTTTATTAAAGTTGATGTATTAATAATCAAGTTATAAGTTATTATATTAAATAATTGTTTAATTAAAGTATAATGAAAGCTTTCTAATTAAATGGATTTTAAAATGAAAATGGTAGGCATTTAATATATGTTAGATTAAATTAATTGTTTCTTATATATTGAATATTTTAATTAATGCCAATTCTATAATTTATTTCGGAAAAATTGAAAGACACCAATTAGTTTTATTTAATCTATGGTATTTTATTCAAAGGTTTAGAAGGAATTTTAAAAATATAATTTTTTGGCCAAAATTTGGAATTTAATATACCTGCACATTTCACTTATGAGATATTATTATTATTTTGTAATGAATTTATTTTGAAAAAAGTTTATACCTAATTTTTAAGTAAAGTTGGACCTAATAAACCTTAATCATCAGACACTCTTTTTAAAAATTTGATAGTTGATTTGTAATGCTAAGAAAGTAGGTTTGTTGTATTGCATTTATTACACTTAAAATATAAGTGATCACAAGTAATATTTTTGACTTATCTAAATCCTAAGTCGAGGGTGTTATACAATGGCTTATAGTTAAAATTTAACCAAATAACTTGTTGTTCAATAACTTTTGCAACACTTGATTACAAGAAAATAACATGATTCTCAACATTAAAAAATAAAAAATAGAAAGTACGTACATAGCCTTTTTAAAGATATCAAATTTTCTCTTACATGGAGCAAACGCAACACATATATATTATGAGAACTATCTCGTAAGAAGAGATAAGATGAGATTTTGGCACAACATATCCATTTTATTTTTAGTTTGCACATAATATTATTAGGACATAATTAAAGTGTCAATATCATCTTTATATATATATATATATATATATATACACTTTAAGCCTTTTAATATTTTCCTCTGTTATATATATATATATATATATATATAGTAATTAACCCAAATATCGAATTGGTTCAATCTAAAAATTGGATTATTTGGAGATAAGATTATGTTTGGTTTAGGATTGAAAATACCCCAATAGCCTACTTGTCATGAATGGATTAGATCAGATTAATTTAGGGGTTGGGTTCACATTCCTTAATTTGCCACCTCAAAAAACTATCAACTAGCTAGATCACAAAGTTCTCAATTCTTATTATTCTTATTATTATTACTTTTGAAGGAGACTGAAACCAAGGGAAAAGGAAGTGACTAGATGTCAGTTGATTAATGAAACTTATTAGTCCCACGAGGGATCATGAAATGATGGACATCTTGGTTGTTGGTGAATCTAAATTTATCAAGTGAACTGAATCCTGTCTATTGCTAGGCAGCGTATTTTCCACTCTTTTAATAGCAATTAATCTGAACATTCATTTTTATACATAAAAGAAAAAAAATCATGGTCCATTGATGAAACTTCCATCGTAAAGATAAAGAAAACGCTCTCTTTTTTTTCCTCTGATAAATAAACAAGCAGATTTATTGAATGTTATTTGGGTTTCAATTACCTAATTACAATAACTACAAGTTAATACCCAGCAACTTGTAATTTTGTCACATCCCTATCTTCAATTGAATGACATATTATTAACTCCCATTAAAGAAAAAGGAAAAAAAAGACTCCTTGAATTTCATAGACCATGTTGAAAAAAAGAACAAACAAGCCATGTGATCGATACAGGTGAGGAAGAAATACAGCTGAAAGATGAATAGGCAGTGAAAATGACGATTCATGAAGTAACGGTTCCCTGGATGCAATTAATTAATTAAGTTGATATCTTTGCTGCGGTTCCCGGCCCGAAAAAGACAGTTCCGAACCAAGTATGATGCTAATGCAGCTGGCAGATTTAATTACCTAGATCACATTCTAATAACCATCGATCTGAGAACCAATATAATTGCCGGTCGATTAATTTAATGCTGAAATATATTTTTCCGGTTAGACGTTCGTACGTAATTTCTACCATTGCATTACAATTACTGTGCAAAATTTATGACAAGAAAATAAACGGAATTGCATGTGCAAAATTTTGAGCTTCCAGCTATGCTAGTAGATAAATGCTAGAACTTAAATGTGACAAATTGATTAAGGCACCTAATTCTGATGACAAATTACCCCATTTTTTGCTTCTTCTTCTTCTCGTTTTTTTTCCCTAAAAAAAAAAAAAAAAAAAAAAATTGATGATGAGATCGATCTCTCTCTTATTTAATTGTCTTCTTTAAAACAAGAGGGATGTGACCTCAGGTTTAAGTGTTTTTTTTTTTTTTACATAATCTCTAAAGTAATTGAGGGGGACGGAGGGTGCATGAATTGAATTCTTGGTTGAAAATAATAAATGAAGTTAGTGTCACATCCGCACTAAGTTCCTTATTTTGAGGTTTTTATTCTTTCTCTTTCTTTCTTTTGAGGTTAATTATACACAAGTAACGAGGTATACGGTCTAGCATTGTTCTAGTTAAGCTAAAATTAAAATTTAATTTTTATAATTTATAAATAATTAAATATAAGGGATAATTATCAGAAAAGGTTTATAAAAAAATCTTATATCTAAAAAACCTACAAATTTATTTTTAAATCTCCTAAATCCAAAATAATATTTTTCTTACTAAAAACACCCAATAATTAATACCAGTGTTAACTATTGATTGTTTTGGCAAGAAAAATATTATTTTAAACTTGTGATATTTAAGAATATTATTTTGTGTTTGGAAGATTTAAAAATAAAATAACAAATTTTTTAGATAGAAGATTTTTTAGAAGGTATTTTGGTAATTATCCTTAGTTAAAATGAAACCATTATCTTTCAAGATGTGTATTTCTATTATGGATGATTATGTTTTATTTAATTAATATACCAAAATATGTTATACATTCATCTTGTAATTTAATTTGATTGTTTGATAAAAAAATATTGAGTTTTTATTAATTAAAAACTAGTATTACCGATGATATTTTGTTTATATCAATATATTAGGATTTAAGAAATCATTGATATTCATAATCATACATATTCTTATTTTTCTTATCCGTATGATAACCTTTTGATTAAATTACAAGAGAATAACAAAAGTCTCATTTCATCAATATTAATTAGTTAATTTGCATCGATTGCTATAGTTACTAGATAATAAAATTAACCTTGTAATTAATGAAATAAATAGTCGATAGAAAAAAAAAATCTACCATAAGGATTTTTTTTAGTATAATAAAAAAAATTAAATGTTAGTGTTTAAAAATTTTCTATCTAAAAAATCCATCAATTTATTTTTTAAATCTCTAAAACCTAAAAATAAAAAATTATCTTACCAAAAAACCCAATAATTAACTAGTGTTAAGTTGAAGGTTAACTATTGACTGTTTTGGTAAGAAAAATATTATTTTGGGTTTGAGAGATTTAAAAATAAATTGATGGGTTATAGGGATATAAGATTTTTTTAGAGGGTTTTTCTAGTAATTATCCCTAAATATAATTATCTTTTAATAATATTAAATTTGAATTGATTTGATTTAAAAAATAATTCAGTTATCCATTAAAAATTAAACATATTCTGACATCAGTTTAAATAAAAAAAATTAATTAACTTCGTCTCAATTGATATGTAAATTAACATGAAAATACCTTATTAAAAAAAAATTGAAGTTTTGCCATTCTAATAATAGAACTGATTTGGTGTTAAAAGAGAGATAGGTAAACCAAGAAAGTATGCAGTAAAAGTAATAGTTAAGAAAGTAGCGGAGGTAGGACAGGTCACGGTTAGCAGTCACTGTCCTAATTAACCCCTTTTATTCTCCTGCTCTCCTCCAAGTCATAAGTCCCTCGGTTTCCTCAAATTCTAGCGCCAATTTTGGACACTTCAGTAAAAATGGATCCAACGGTGGGTGTATTTCTATCATAAAAATACAAAACAATTATTGCTTTCACTGTTTCTAAAGCCAATATATGATTGTTTGCGTCTCTCCCATGTGACTAACTTTTCCTTAATCTATGCTTTTATAATGCATATATCAAATCCTGTTGGTTCTTCATCAAACTCAAAAATCAATTTTTCTTGATTTTTTTCTTTCCCCCTTTCTTTTCCTAAAGAACATCTGAAATGCTATCCCCATATAGAATAGAGTTAGCTCATGAAAGAACAATCCAAAGCATATTGTCATGGAAAGACCTTCATATTTTCTAGCAGAATAAAACTAGATTATGTCACCATTAATGCATGAATACCTTATTAGAATGTATGAAACACTCTTGTCTCTCACTGGGCTGAATACTGAAACCCATTGTGTGTATCTTTCAAAGACAGAAAAGGAGGACGCAGACATGGGAGAGGAAGCTGAGACTTGAGAAAAATCTCTGAGCAACAAAAAAAAAAAAAAGGAAAAAAGAAAATAACAGTGGAGTTGAGCGAGAGAAAGAGGACAATGGAAAGGAGATGGAAAAAACCTGACAGAATAAAGAAGCTGTTGTACAAGTCAGTCATGCTATTCATACCTATTTCTTTTCTTCTCTATCTATTTGCTTCCTGATGGTTGTGACTACCTTATCCCCTAGAATCTCAACATGTATTCTTATGCAAGCACCAACTGATATGGATTGAGAAACCTCATTGTTCCTTTCTTCTTCAGAATTGATGATTTTCTCTGCTGAATCTGCCGTTGTAGAATAATTGGCAGACTCGACTCTGTAGTTTGCTTTGGATATGATCGAGTCCATAAAAGCATCTCTATACACAGCATTGCATTCTACTAAGCTACCTCCATTATTCAACATCTTTAACTTGTATTTTGTTCTGTAAAGAAAAGCACCAGTACAATGTTTATTTAGGGATGTGCGATACTTCTTCTTGCGCGTCATAAGGCTTAAATCCCTTTGTGGGCTGAGATTAAGGTTTGGGTGGAGTTGCAAGGCCCATTGCTTGGTGATTCAACATTCAAGTACAAGGTTGATCCCAAAATTCCAAGAGGCCCAGAACCCGCATTTTCATCATTGACGACTGCCATAGTTTGTTGCTTGTTTTATGTGTAATTCTATTCTACTAGACACTAAAACATCAACGACGTTTACCGTTCATTTGAACAGTGAATGAACACAACTTTACAAATTATCTCTTTTTTATTATTTATTTGAACAGTAAAATATTTTTTTTAAGCCAAGACCCTCTTCTTTTGTTTTTTACCCAATCCACAGTATTTTTTTTAAAAAAGATTTGTAAATGTTAATTTTTTTTCCTGTTTTAATTTTATCAAACTGAATTTTAGACGCATTATCATCCAAAACCTATACCTTAATCTTAATAAATACATTATCATGAATTCATTTCTTTTTGCCTTTGATAAATTCAAACACCAGATAGCTATACGTACTATTTACTATCTAGCTAAGTCAACACTTGAATTTATAGTAAAATTAGTCATATGTATGTTAGCTGGCTGGACGGGTTGACTATATAATTTATGTGATTTATATTATTTTTTTTTTAAAGATTGTATTATGATCATAAATATTAAAGATAATGATTTAACTCTATCCATCTCACCCTACCCCAAATTAATCTGTCTAATTAGAATATTGTTTTGTGTTTATTTTATATTGTATACGTATTATCAATTTACTAATTTAATAAACATTAGTATATTAATTGTTATTGCACACTAATATATATTAAAAATAGAACACATGATATAAAGAATCAATACATAGATTATTACAAATATTGTTAATCTTCAAGAATTAATTAGACATAATTTTAGGAAAATAAAATTAAAATGAATCTCTTAAATTTTTCGTTTATTATAAAAATTCTCATCAAATTAAATTATTTATGAACATTTATTTTTTAATAAATATGGTTTATTTTTTTAGTTTTGTTGAAAATTAATTATGTATCCGCATATATAACCTCATTAGTCCATTTGGTTCAAAAATTATTTTTTGTCCTTTTTGCTATTTCAATGTTTTTATTTTTATTTTTTTAAAAGATAGATAAAGACTAAAAAAATATATTAAAAAAAGACTTTAAAAAAATAAATAAATTATTCATGGCCAACACTAATAAAAAAATTAATTCAGTCATTTTTCAAAACGAGATGAACTAATTTATTATTTAATTTGCAATTTAAGAATCTCTTTCATCATAAATTAAGAAATAAGATTTATGGGAATCAATTTTGTAGTAGTTTTTATTTTAGATTATTGATTTTAATATATACCATTCAACTTAGATGGTTTTTTATTAAAAAAAATTATTTATACTATATACTCGAATCTACTAAGTATGATCTTATAATGTATATAGTTTTATTGAAAATTAATTATGTATCTTTATTCATAACATTAATTATTTGTAATTTATTCTTTTTTACATTCTAAAATTAATATTTTTTAAATAAAATAATTGAAATATATATCATTATTTTTTTTATAAATTAATTATGCATTTATACACATAACTCTAGTTATTTGTTATTTATTTTTTTAAGTTTTAAAATCAATTTACATTAATTATGAAAAATAAGATTTTTTTATCTACATTACACCATATAAATCGTTGACCTTACATACACGATTATTCGATAGCATCGTAACGCAAGTATCCAACTCATTGTGTAATTATAATCGCTGCAATCGGCATTACTTTATGGTAATTAACTACTTTTAAGGTTTTAGGATATAAGATGATGTCAAGATTTAGATTAAAATTAGAATTGGAGTGAATAGTTTGAGCATTCATTGAGAATATTACCGGATTATCTTGCATTCCAACCCTATATTCCAAAGTGTAGTGAATGCAAGACAACAAACCTTCTCCTTTAATCTTATAAATTTCACCATATTTTTGTTTTGTTTTGTTTTTTTTGTTTTGTTTTGTTTTGTTTTGTTTATTTTAAACAAGGTCTTTGATAATTAAGAACGTAATAGATCCAATTAAATTAAAACTTAGGTATAATTTTGTTTTTAAAAATTCTTCCAACAACAATTAATAATCTTAATACACGAGTGGAAATATTAAACCTTACATTTAGGTTAAAAACTCATATTTTCAGAATCCAATCTAATTATTTAAATAATATTCCTTAAATGAAAGTAAATTGAACTGCATCTTTTATTTTTCTCAAATTCCTTATAAAAATTTAGATTTTATTTTAAGCAATTCTACTTATTATTTCCACCCAAAACTAATTTAATTAGTCATTTAATTAGAAAATATTCTTAATATATAATATACCATTAAAGCTTGGTTTATTACTTTAATAAAAATTCCTTAAATTAGAAATTCAATTAAATCAATAAATTCTTGTCATTCTTCCATAAAATCTAAAATAATAGGAAAATAGTCTAATTAATTTGAAATAATAAATTTCTACCATTTTCTTAAAAATTCTGGCTTTTAGGAAAATAATCAACTTTATTAGAAATAATTAATTTTAAATAGAAATAATCAATTTAAGTAAAACTATTTGAATTGGAAATTTAATTAACCATATAATTTGTTTTTCACTTAACTGAATTGATCCTATTAAACTATTTAATCATGGGATAAAATCACTTTTTGTTCCACGGAACATTGGTTCCAAATAATTTAGAAAACTTGACAATTTAAATCATGTCCAATAAGTTTTCTCATTCATCTTATTAAATTTAATTCCTTTCTTTTAATTAAATTGATTATTTCCTTACTATTTTGGTTCCCAATTATTCATGCCAAGTATTTATTAACCATTTAACCAATGCTATGGCCATGTTATTAATTTCAATTGTCACCAATTAATTTATAGGTCAACCAATTTATTTAAGTCACATATACCATTTATACTACTAACCATGCACATCCATATTTATTTATATTTAGAGTAGTTTAGTGCATAAGTAATTTACACATCATAGGGATGAAACCTAACACACATACCAGATTTCTAAAACATGATAAAAAGGAAAAGTGAAAACTCTTTAACTCACAAGCAAAAGTTAAAGTACACTTTTTAGCAAGTCGGCTCGTCTCAACAACGATTGTTACACCAAAGCATGCCATCATATCCTGTGTTTTTCGCTTACACCACAAGGATAAAATGAGCTATGCCAAGTAAGCGCAATCTATGCATGATATGCACATGATGCAATTAAAAATCTTTTCGTGCATTTTTTCTTTTCCTTACAAGAGGGTGATCATTCCTCTTGTAATTCCTTCCGGAGATACTTTGCCATTTTCTTTAAAAACCATGCATTTCCTTTTCTTTTTCTTTGAAAAATGATGAAAGAAAACTTTCATGAATATGTCATTAAAATGCATGTAACAAATCATGTCTTACCTTAACCTTTTCCATTTCATGCATGCTTGATCATTATGGTACATGCTAATAATCAAACAAACAACCATTAAAATGTATAAAACAAACCATAAAATGCATGAATCAATCACAAAATTTTACACAAGCATTAAACCTAAGATAAACACATTTAACCGAATATGGCCACTTCATTTCACATCATATACATAATCCTTTTTTCAAGAAAATTCACTTGCACTTACTCATAGTCATCTCATGGAAAACCCTTTACGCTCCGCTTAGCCTTGTCCCCCTCTAGGTGTATTTTAGTGATATGTTTTATAGGAACTGGACGGTTCTATTTGGTCAAAAACCTAGCGACAAACTCCTATGTTTCTTTCATTACAGTATTTCTAAGCAAGTCCCTAGATAACAAGCCTAAGGGTTTTCTTATTGATGATAGTGACGATATTGATATGAGTGATGATATCGACCGTAACCTTGATATGGAGCTAGAGCTTTTAACTAGGATGAATGCACTAACTATGGATATCATGTCAAAAATATACCGATTTTATATCACCCTTCAATTCAAATTAGCAAAAGCAATGTCTCTTTGCATAATATAGATTCCAAACATTCACAATTTGGATGTGAATAAGTTGAATTACTTATCCCTCAATCTATTAGTGAATAATTTATTTTGATTGAACTGCTTAGTTTTGTTTGCTGTGGTATATGTCTCATTTCAAGACTCATCGACTAGAATTGTTCCATTTATTTCAATTTTATTTCGATATCAATTATAAATATATATTGCTATTGCTCTTATTCCTTATACAAATACAAATAAGACTATTTTCTCGATCTTTCATCTCACTTCGGACTCTCTATAAAAATCTATAAAAAAATAGCAATTGGGTCTATTAAAGTGAACTTTTTTTTTTATTTCGGCTTTATCCTTTGTCCCGAATGATTCTTACGAGCAAGCTTATGAGAATTTTTTTTTTTGATGAACCAAGCAATTACAAGTGGCTAGTTATAAAAAAGATAATACAAGTAATAAAGAAACAAAAACTATACAATTTTTTTTTGTATTTGAATTTTATTTTTTAGGGCTATATGGACTCGCACCATAGACCTTTCGGTAAAACAGATCAAATTGATTATTATCAAAATGATTTTAACTATTTTAAGACCCAACATGCATTTTTTTGCATTGGGCTCTTTCATTAACCGATATAAATAATCAATTAATCTATCGAATTCTCTTGATACGAAGATAAGAAGATGGCTCCATGTGCTTTGATTTCTTATTTGGATTCCAATCCGAGAACACTACTAAAGTGTTTTAAAGAAGGTTATCTCGACGTAGGTTTACTTTTGGCTTAGATCAACCTAGGTTAAATGAAGTCTCCATCGACCTCCTTTTACTTAAATAATCCAATATGAAACTTCACACACCTTAAGGTTCATAAGGTAGGACAAAAAAAGCCTTTCTTGAGGTCTTTATACATATTATGCCTAGCATTAAATAGACCGAGTATTCCCTTTATCAATATCTTAAATAAATAATGGGTTCTATTGGTTGCCTAAAATCTAATATAAAAGAGCACCAAAATTGGACCGAATCTTTTATCGAGCTATTCTTCTCTTGTTCCCTAAAAGTCATGTGAACCATGATACATCACAAATTAGAACATTAGGCAATCAATCCAAAAATCTCATATTGGTCG